GAAACTTTATTTAACTCTATAACTTTTTGATAAGAAGTTAAAAATGAAGAGCAGAATTTGCTGACCAAATGTCTTTTCATTTTACATCTTATTGGTATTTTTGACACTTGAAACTTATTTAAATTTTAGTAATTGTTTACAGACAAATGAAGAAAAGTAATAGTCGAAGGAATTTTATTATTTTCCTATATTACAACTATGCTGCTTATAAGTTTCTAGGGTATGAGTTTCGAATAATTCAAACTTAGATTTCGTTATGAATGGAAATCATTTAGATAATGATTGAAAATCATGCAGCACACTGAACGGTTTTTTCGTCTTCGTTCGGAACTCTTCCATAGCTCTCACTCATGACTCCAACTATGAATTAAATCTAAATGAATTATTTCATTCAAAGTGAAGCTATGAAACTGTGCATCAGGAAATTTATTTTCACAGACTTAGATATCTGTTTTTTTTGGTAATAGCTTAAATGTTTAACGCAAACTCAGTGTCTAGAAATATATGCTGAACAATTGCTGTTTCAAACAGCAGGTCAGAAATTAAGCTAGCCAGTTTTGACTCTTTTGATAAGGAGAAAAATTTATTGCTGATATCTGTTTAGAATTTCAAACAAAACTAAAAATCAACTAAGTTCTGTTTTTTGAGCTGTTGGTCAATACATAATATGATTTCAAGACTATGTGTACGTATGATCATGGATAAATAAAAAGATTGAAAAGACTTTGTATTGTGTGCATGAATAAACTCTTACTCAGGATTCTTTGGGACAAACCGAAATGCGAGCAGCTAGCCAGTATGACTAAAAAAGAATGCTACTGAATGTTCAATGAAGGAAAATACTTTAGAGGTAAATATATTATTGACATAATAAACATGAAGCACTATGCGACAAATTGTCTGTAGTTGAGATATTAGTTTCCAGCTCAATAACTTTTGGTAAAGTACTTACTCATTGTGAGAGCTGATGTTCTCGAATCCAGTATTCTGTGTAACTGTGAGTGCTTACTGGTGAAAAACTCTTAATATTTCATACATTTGGTTCCCTTGATAAATTATGATAAAGAAAGGAAGAAAGATCAGATTTGCACTATAAAATAATATCATTCTATTTCACAGTTTCGCATCAGCCACAAACTACATGGAATTGCAGTGGTTATAAGTGTTTCACGTGTTATAGATGTACGTCAGCCGTATGGACACAGAAACAAAATTCGAACACCTATACCAACAAACTACTGACCCGAAATCTGTAGCCGAAGACAAAAGAGGATGCTTAAAGTCCAAACTGGTTGGTGTAGTCAACCAGTACCACATATTACCATCCAACAAACGGAAGACTGACCGAGGAGCAAAGAGCAGCAATGAAGGAACTATGTGAAAATAATGACACCGTCATGTTTAGACGTGGTAAAGGCTCTAGCATTGTTACAATGAACAAAACTGATTATGTAGAAAAAATTTCAACAGTTCTCAACAATCGGAAAAGAATTTCAGTTGGGTAAACCAAAAAAATGTAACGACGTTATTTAAAAATGGAGTAAATGGATGTCTGAAAGAACTCCTTATGAAGAAACTGATCCACGACGGGACATAGCATTAGCTGAAGTTGGAAGGTGGACGCCTCCTGTTTACTTACGGTCTACCAAAAACCCTTAAGGCTCATATTATAAATGATCAACTGACCATACCACAAGCTAGCTCAATGGTTAGATGATTCTTCTGAGCCCATTCGAAATAATTTTGCGATTCACAGCTTGAAAGACACCTGTCAGTTTTCCAAAGAAGTAGACCATGTCAGTGCATCAAATAAACTTTTGGCATCGTACGGTGTGACCGCCTTATTTGTAAATAAACCAGTGATGGGAACAATTGCTACCATTTGTAAACAAACAGATGCATCACCATCACCCTAAATAAAAATGAGGCGCCTACTACTTCTCTGAACAAAACACATATAATTGTAATTTAACAACCACGTTTATCGAAATACTGATGTGGTTGTTATGGTTTCACCTCTAGTACCTATTCTGGCCAATATCTGTATGGGTTATCTCGAACAGGTGCGACTGAGTTCTGCTATCAATGAAACAGCCTTCTATCGCTGATATATTGACGATACGTCTGTTGTTTGTAACGATATGAATCACGCGTATTTATTATTTGACCGCCTCAATGAAACCCACCAAAACATTAAATTTACCATGAAATATGAACATAACCATATGTTCAATTTTATGGACCGTAATGTAAGAGGGAGAAATGGTTGCATGGTCAAAAATCTTGGATGGGACAATATCTGCACTACAACAGTTTCCGTCTTATAAGCTATAAACGTGGATTACTAGGGACAGGGTACGAAAGAACCAGGAAGTTATGTCCGCCTGACATGGTGGAAGAAGAACTAAGCTTTGTTGAAAAATGTCTAGAGGAAAATGGGTATCCAAAGGGATTTATCCAAAAGTATAGCAAAGAAAAGAACGAGAAAACGAAACACCCAATTGTAGAGTAGAATAAAGTGTTCACTTGTCTCCCATTCAGAGGAGAAGTAGGATCACGAAAGATTGACAAGAGAATAAAAGGAGCAATAAAGGAGTGCTTCCCTGCAGCTAAGCTTGTAACACCATACAACACCTCATGCAACGTAAGCCAACCTAAACTAGATTAGTGCCCTACTGATTTCACCTTCAGCTGAGTTTATAAATTCACACGCACTTGTTCCCATGAATGAGCTGAAAGAACAGAAAGAAGGGCTTTTATCCGGTTTCCTGAGCATATCCTAAGATACTTATCTCTCGAAGGAAACAGATATTCCCAAGTGCAATTACCAGACACCTTGTGGATATGGGTCATTTGATCAAGATTTCCAAATCCTTCAAAATATTGGACATACAAAAGACAGCAAATTTACCACGATTTGCTGAAGTGATTGAAGTCAGTGTCTCAAATCAAACTAGTGCATACAAAAAGAGAGTGCAATCGATCTCTCACTACCTTGCTAACTGTATTTTTATTACATTTGTTAATCATCCATATTAGTGATTTCATCGCATTAAGCAGGTATTCAGTCTTATGAGCTATATGAACCTAAGAGTTAACACTGTTCGCTTATTAAATTTCCCTGTTTTCTGCCTTCTTCTCCTCCCCTTTTTAATATTGAAAGCATACAAATTGATGGTAAGTTAAACTAAAAACTGTTTTACTTATATTTCGGATACGTTAATTTTATGTTTTCTCCTCTACCATTCAAACAGTGAAGTATGTTATTGCAATTTTTATAACCATTTTAATTTCAGGTAGTTTGCCACTGATGAGAAGCTGTGAACTAGAATGACATAATTTTATACTTCATGGAAGATTCTAGTTGTAAAATACAGAAAATCAAAACAAGCGGTTCAGCGAAGAGACTCTTTTCAACGAATTTATTATCAATTTTTACAATCCTATATATATGGTTTTTAAGAAGTTATATCCGGTGAGGGAATTGAATCATAAGTGTGAATGCATAAAATAATAGCAGTAATGTAACAAGAGAAGACAAGGGCCAGGCAACAGATCCTTTATTAAGGAAACCAACACATATTTATAGATTTTCATGCATGTATTATAGGTTATTGTTAGCAGAAAAACACAGTCTTCTGATTGGTTGTTTCTCACAGAAAGTTCACCTTGCATTTCTTTGTGGCTGTTTCTTGAATGTCAGATCATCTATATGCTAACTGTATCCGCCTACGCAAAGTCTTTCTTCCTACTTTTCTCACGACCAATATTTGGGACATAAACCCTGACGTAAATTAATGTGTACCAATTTGGCTAGCCGCCCGCTGTTACCACAGTGGTATGAAATGCAATTGAAGTGTGTAAGTTGCTACATTGTTTAAATTTGATTTCATCACAGTTGTGAAAGATAAAACATTATATTTATTTCCCGATACGAATTTAAAACAAGCAATAAAGGTTAATAAAGCAGTGTTTAATGAATTCATCAAATTTCGGTAGAACTCGTCAGCTGAATACTCTACATACACGGATATATATACTTTTGAAATTACATACGGAGATATAAGACTGATAAGTAAATAATCTACATTGAATTAGTCATGCAGAAAGACAAGTGCGAATGTTTTACAGGTCATGTTCAAATAGATAAGGTGAGAGAGATTCTGAGAGATCGAAATTAAGATAAATTGCATTACGCTTCAATTACATCACTTAGATAAACAATTAGTCATTAGGGAATATAACGAGAATTGCAAACAGACTAATATCAATAGTAATAGTTATAATAACAATTTTAATAGTGTTGAATTGAGTTAGGATAATCTTACGGATAAAGCATAGATTTAAATGAATCAAGAATAATAATAATGATAGTAATAATAACAAAAATAATAAGAAGAGGTAGAATAATAGTAATAACATGTAGAGAATAATAAGTAAAGCGTATTACCATGGTAGATTCAGAGTGACGACCATCTCCTTTTGAATACAGAGAGCTGGTTTATAAATTCGAATTGCACAAGCCTCTGTAATTGCAAGCATCTTCTTGTTTCTTTGTTTGCTGACGATGGTGAATGACTTGACGGCGTCGATATCATGTCCGTAATCCACGAGATGTTTTTTTATTTAGGATTTTGGCACTTTGCACTCAACTGTTTTCAACCATTTTGGCAAATGCTCCATCATGCTGGTAGACAATCGGCTTTCTGTACGACCTATGTATTTGCTACCACAAACACACTCAAATTGATGTACGCAGTTTGGAGTGTCGAGGATTGGTGACTAGTCTTTCCCAGATTGTTGAATCACTCGCTTGGTGGTGTTAAGAATAACAATTTTTTCAGCATAATAAGTTCTCTTGGTGGCGGTACGTTTAACGTTTGCATTACGTTTTTGCGTGATTCGTTACATAAAATTTATCTTTTTGTAATACTTGCACAATTACAATACTACTTCCATACCTGTAACCATTAACTTTCATATCAAATAGTTATGGTCAGTCAAAGTAAAAAGCAACGAACCCAATCCCCTGAAAATCTGGTGACTAATTTAATGTCCTTGATTTACATTTTTAACTGTCACCTCATCTGGCTGTCTTGTCATGAAACACAAAAAATGAAGACTGTAAGTAAGAAGTACAGATTTTTGGACTTTGTGATTTGAGCAGTAAGCAGTTGTTGTCATACTAATAATTAGAAATTAATCTGTACGTTTGAGGAGAAATTAAATGACATGATGGCCATTGAGGAATTATTCCTGAAGATTTATAGTATATCATTAAATATGGGTTTTTTTACTGTGATGCAATAAAGTAAATTAATAACTTATGAAGTGTACACTCCCAGCTGTATGAAGTGAATGGGTATGTTTACTATGGCTGATAAATCAACTGACCATCACAGTTAAACGGCGTTTAAACATTCATTGAAAAACAATGAGGAAAGGGAGAAAAAATGAACAGAAGTTCATTTCAAAACTCAATGTATTATCATAAATTGCTTTCACAATGCTGAATTTATGGTCAGGTATTTTACTATTAAAATCGTTTCATGGAGAGATTCATATAGGATCACTACAAGAAAAATGACTACCGTAAATGACATACATCTTTATATTGTATGAATTCCTTTTAATTTTCTAGTCTTTCTGTGTTAATAATACATAATTTGCTGAATGTCAAATAAGTATTTCTTTCCTTCAACAACTGTTACCCTATATTCAGTTGTACTTTTCAGTTATTTGAACTAAGTTCCTCATCTCTAGATAATGTTCTTCCAGACAGGTTGAATTCTGACAAGTGATTTTCGTAATTATATGGATACTGTTGAAAGAAATTCTGAGTGATGTAGGGATTCATTTCTGTTTCATTTTCATGTTTATGCGATTGTTTATCTTCATGTTTTGCGTAAGGAGACTGATTTCTTGAATGGTATTCTTCATTACGAACTGCTTTTTGACACACATCATTATAATACGAAGAGCAAGTATCAATTGGCAATGAGATACCATTGATACTGCCAGACTCATTTGCTTGATTGATGTTAGAATCACTTGGAAATTGAATATTACTTCGACATGGAAAACTATTACTTATTAGTGTAGCTGTTTTATGCATTTCCCTATTTAGTGAAACAGTTTCACTATTTAATTTATTTAAATATGTTTCTGTAACACATTCTTCAGTTGTTTCAGCATTACTTTTCAAATATCTACAAGAATTATGTGAATGAATTTGAGAGTTAGGATTAAACCATAAGGATGATCTGCTTTCTGATGATACACCGATTCCACTGACTGAATAATGACATGGTGTTGAAAATCTTGATCGTGTAAATAAACTTTGCATATCTGTTGTTTCACAATTTGTAGATAAATATGCGTTTTCTGAATGTTTCTGACGTTTAAATTTCATACGACGATTTTGAAACCAAACCTGGAAAATAAAATGTACCACTTTATTTATGTACTAATTACACTTAGACCAGTGAATACCTGATACAAACAGTTATGCTAATAGTGCAACTCTTTGAACATGTTTCATCAATATGAAAGCCTGTAACCTTAAGATAATTTTTAACCTAGAATTATTCACAGACAACTATACCGTTATTCTCTGACACTTTTCATACAAATTATGCTGAAGAAAAAAATTAAACCATACGTAAGAAATGAACAGGGTATTTGTATAATTAGCAACCTATATGAAAATAACAAGATTAACCAAAATGCATGTGATAAATTCAATTAATGATTTTGTTTTCTTACCAAAGTATATGCAATACAACGTCTGGTCTTGTGCATATCGTAAAAAAGGAGGTTAAACTTAGATTTCATAACTAACTAACAAGGAGCGATGTCATACTTTTTGTGAACTGTTTCCTTTAACTCTAGGTTTTTCTATACAATTGGTGGATGGTGGCTAGCAGTGGAATCCAGGATGCGATTCTCGTCCTATTTGGGACTCGTCATCCGCTAGCCATCATCCACCAATTGTATACAAATCAAATCCCCAGACATCGTCGAAGCATCTGCACAAGAAGCCGACATGTCAACCTGAGACCGAGCACTTCGGTCCAATCAATCGACGGGAAAATCAAAAATTCAATTCAATAGGTTTTTCTAGTTTGGTTATGTAAACCGCTAGCTTTTGTTGTAGTATGTTCTAATATGAATCACTTTGTGTATACACCTGATCATTTCCGTCCAGAATGAGTGGATCAGAAAATATTTATCTGACTCTTCAGTACTAATGTATATGACTTATTCTTTCTTAATCATATTTGTAATCGGCATGTGTCCAAATATCTTCGCCTAAATATTAACAGTTTTAAACGAATTCAAATGCTGTTTATGAAAATGAACTCCAGTAACAGAAAACCTTATTTGCTGTTCAAGTTATATTAAAGGTCTTTGGCTTTCGGTGTAGACTTTTAAGAAGTGTGTTTGTATAGTTTTGTTGTTAAGTGAATTTCAACGTACATTTCCTTTTCCTGAAATTTACTTACCGAATTCGTTATTATGCTGTCTATAGAATATCAACAAGAATCTTTTTCATAAATTCAGCTATTTATGTTATCTCACTTACCATTCTACTTGCTCATGCTATCAGCGTTACTTTTTCGTTTCTTAGAAATTGGAGTAGGATGATAAATTCTCGTCCCAAAACATTGTCTACAAAATTAAAATGAGAATCCAACATATATATCCAGCTGTACCACATAGTTCTATTAATATTGTCAACAGCATGTTTCCACATTGTCCTGCTTTCTGAAAGCCTCTTCAGCTGACCCTACGATTTCCCATAGTCACTCATTTACTCCTCACACGATCTCCTCCATATCAACCTCGGACGCCCAGCTCGTCGTTCTACATTCGGGTTCCCCTCGAGCAATGGGCTGGAGTCATGCAATTCCATGGTCACCTCAGCGCATGTCCGACACATCTCTATTTCGCCGGCATATTTGTCAGCTTGTTCGTTCCCAGGGTTTCTCACTGCAAATTCTTTCTGGCCGTCTGATCTCCAAACAACGGAGTCAGAGAAGGCAGTTGTTGATAAACGTCTACGGCCTGTTGGAAATACTTCTCGTGACACGCCATATTTCTGACGCGTATAGAAGAAGTGGTTCAACATTGGCGTTGAAAATCCGAATGTTGTTCTTCTCGCTGAGTTCAGAAGATTTCCAAACTGGTTTCAGAGTGATGAAGGTCTGTTCTGCCTTTCCGACTCTGGTTTCAACATCCTCATCCAAGCCGATTGCCTGTAGTTGAAACGACGCTGCTTAGATAAGTGGAAGAGGCGACCTCCTCTGGATTCCTCCTGTTGGTAATGATCGGTGCTTGATGTTGTTGTTGTTGTTGTTGTTGTTGGTGGTGGTGGTGGTGGTGGTTGGTAACTTCCATCAACCCCGTCTTCTCTATGTCCACTTGAAGACTCTTCTTCGCCGCTTCTTCTGCCAACTTGTGGTTTTCGCTTTCAGGTCTTCGAGTTTGTGCGATATTAGACACAAATCATCCGCGTACTCCAGATCTTCTAGAGTCTCCTTATCGGTCCGATGGATTCCTGTCGTCTCGCTTCCCATGCAGAGTCCTCCGCATAATCCAGTCCACCACAGTGGCGAATATAATCGGTAATAGTAGGTAGCCTTGTAGTATTCATTATTCTACTGTATATGTGTGTTTACGAAATATGGATGAATGACCGACTAATCACCGAAACATCAGTTGGTGTTTAAGTTGTAATTCAAAAGGTATTTTTGGAAAATAAGTTAACATAAATACCTTTAAATTACAACTTCATGCTACCTACAGCATGTTTAATTTTGTCCATTCTGGTAGGTCTGTGGTTTGTTCTTTCTGAACATTGAGAATTAGGGAACTCTCTGACTTTCAGCATTAAAATCAGTGACATGACATATGAAAACTGAATTTAACGATATCACACAGTTTTACACTAATATAACTTATTATTCTATTGTATATGATAAGAGTTTCATATCCTAGCTAGTGTTCTGGCAGTGGTGAACCTCATCCTAGCACTACTCTATTTTATTAGTATAATATAAATGTGTTTTTGAAATAAGATGTTTGAACAGATGTGCGAATTCTGTTTATTCCGCCGTAATACAGTGTAACCTAGTTCATAGGTGTGAAAGCAAGTTTTTGTTGGCCTCTAACTCTAGTTACAAACCCATTATTCTCCTGCAGGTTACTGGTTTAAAACAGAATAAGATAATATTATGACTTCTGAGAAAATCTTTCGCATTCAGAAGAGAAACACCACAGCAAAATAGTTCAGAATTAAACAGAATGGTCTTTGACATGGCATATCTTGATTTTTGCCCTTGTTCTGTTGAACACGATATTTTCTTATCATTAGATTTGAGGATACTAAGAGCAATTAAAAGGATGATCAGAAGTCACTGGTGGTGTTTAAATAATGCAGACTAAAAACTTTTAGTTACAGTGCTTTTCCTGATATTGATTTTATTCTTCTCAAATTATGAACTCTACTCTTAGTGAAACATCCGGAGTGCTTTAATTACGAGCAAAGTAGGTGCTCAAAATTAAAGATTTAGTGTTTTGTTTTATTAGAGAAGTTTGGATGTGAAATAGTTCATCTATATAGATAGTAAAAAGTATTATTTATTACCAGACTTTTGATTCTGTTAACAAAATCTGAGTTTTATGATGTTGGAAAACAATTAAGTCAAGAAAATTTATTTTATCACGTATTTTAAGCTGACAATTGTTTTACACTAATTGATCACTCCTTTTAGCTTTGTTAGTTAAATGGCTTCAATAGATTTGACATTAATCTCTACAAATTTATTTAAGGCAAATCAGGAGTTTAGACTCAGTTAAATGAAACTGCATTACTTTTGAACTGTCGCGAATATTCATTATGTTTACTTGAAGACTAGGGAGAATTCTAGTTGACACTGGTAGGATATGAATCGTGTCAGCCCCTGAAATTCAAAATAATGTGTCAGACAATATGGTGGCGTCTGCATAGGGGAGAAATATACATTAAGACACTGATCTCATTTGGTAACAAGGATGAACTGTGAAATTTTGCCTTGAGAAATTCTGAATAACAGCTATTCTGAGAAATCTAGATACAACTTCGTTTTAATATTCCGAGACGGTAAGTCATTTGTGTTGTCAGTTTTGTAGCATTTTTACGTTTATGCATAGATTTTTCGACTGAAAACAACTTGTTCAAATACTTAAATATGTGTAAATTGAACTAAAATATCATATATATGGAATATTCATCTAGTGATTCTTATCAAAATTGTTGATGTGATTACCCTTATAAATTTTTTTCATTCTTTTAAAGTTAAGTGAGTAAGTGTTTCAGTAGCATACTATTGTGGATACGCATAAAAAAATAAGGTATTTACGCTGACTCAATGAAATTAATTCTACTTACTTTGATTTGCTTTTCTGATAATTTGAGTGCTGAAGCTATTTCAATCCGGCGAGGCCGACATAGATATTGACTGTACCAGAATTCTTTTTCTAGTTCTAATAATTGTGTTTGAGTGTAGGCTGTTCTTGCTCTTTTTGATCTTTTACCTAAATTACTGTTACTACTATTACTGCTACTGTTTGTATTGATTAAAGTAGTACTAGTGATATTGTCAGTGTTTGTTTTCTGCTTATTAGAGGCAACTATAAGAAAATTCACTTCTGCATCTGATTCGTTGTATTCATCTGAAATATGAAATGAATAGGTTGGATGAATATGGTTATGTGGATTACGTGGGAAATTTTCACTTGGCTGACAATGAACTGTTCGATGGCTATAACAGTGGTAAGGGAATGATGTTAATTCACAGATAGGTGAAGCTTGTTTCTCATTTGTCCGTAATGTGCTTCCATAATGTGTCCAATCACTGGGTTGAACTTTCTTATAATTATTAAAGGGTGGTTTATTCATTAGCGAATATTCAACGTTTTGATTAATAACAGAATCAAACGATAAACTCAGTGTATTTTCATTCACTTTAAAACATTGATATTGATTGCTTTCTTGAGTTTGCTCCATTTGGAATTCTGTTTGACCAGTTGCATCTTTGAATTCTACTGGTGGAGCACAAACATTACTTTTTAGTGTTGAATTAGTTAGTACATTTGACGATGAACTGTATTCTATTCATAAAATATTTGAAATGGTTTAAAGATTTTTAAATTAAAATTACTTTCAAGAAATGGAGGAAAATATAGATAAAACAATCTAACTAATTGAGTAATGGAGCTATCTGTCCTAGTCAGTTGTTGACTTATACCAAGACTTCAAGGTAAACCATAAAAGACTAATATAGTCCTGGTAAGTTAGCGATAAAAATTTTCACTTACATCTAACTGATCAGGAGAAAATATTGTGACATTGATGAGTCGCATTAAATCTGTTGACTGTACAGTATTTAATCTTTACAAGATAAACTTAATTTGAAGAAAACAGAGGAAGTTCACGCGGCAAAAGAAGAAACTTATTTCTTTGACCTCCATTTACTAAGTTTATTTAATATTCTTTTATAGATTTCTATTTATAATTTATCAAGAATCCTAAATCACTCTTATTCTACAAACGATGCACTTTTCTAAGAAGTTTAAAAGTCGGAAGAGTTCTTTTTCAGTATCTTCAAATACTTATTACTTAGTCAGTTCTAAAGTTCTGGACGAAAATGAATGAGGACTTCTTCAGATAACCCAAGCCGTATGTACGAATTAGATGTGTCTGAAGATACCATGGTCTTATTATTATTGTTCGATTGAATAGTAGTTCAGTAATGGTAGTAAATTGGCATTTTTATAATACAATTACTTTTTTAACTGTTTTTCATTCTAATAATGAGTAAAGGAAGCCAACAGCTTTTGAAGTCGGTTGATTTAGTCACGAAGTACTCACAATTCAAACACGTCACAAAGGTTTTTACGAAACCTGTGTCTTCTAATATAGTATGATTAATACATTATTTTTCGTGGATTGATATTAACACACTGGCTCCTTTTAAATTTAATGTGGTGTACTGTAAATTCGTGTCAGAATAAAACTTGCTCACGGTAATAATGTTAACAAAGACGTGGAACAACCAGTAACATCCTGGACAATTTACTCACTTTATCTTAATAATATGGCATGAATTGAATCAGAGTATAAATTCTAGATGAAAGTAGAGACAGGTAAATGTACAAATGTGTATAGCATTAATTTTATTTGTTGTGGCTTCCAGAATGTTATAAATGACTATTTATTTATGCATTTGTTTACTTCATCAAGAGTTATGATAAACTATTTAGAATTCAGAATTTGTAGAAATTAATCTTAGGAGGAGTAGTATCTTTTTATAGGAATTATGACTTGGTGGCATTTCAACAACTTAAGTAGTTTTTCAACATAACAGTACATGGAATGCACCATTAGTTTTAAAGTATGTTCTTCTCCTTGTATATCCGTTTTTAAAATTGTAAAACCTATGAATCTGAATATACCTACACTACATTATTAATGAGTGAATATTCAACCAAATATGAAATTGTACGAAAGGACTCAAAGTTCCGATAATGAATACGAATGAAATTTCAACTTTGCCGTCAATGTGTTCACTGGGGTTGTAAATTTATCCAACAAAATATCAACAGTCAGATGACGTTAAACTACCGACATATTCCGTTACCATTTCTTTGTAACGTTCAAACATCTGAATAAGACACGAGTGGTGTGTGGGATTAATGTGCATTGAAGCTGTTGAAACTTCAAATACAGGTTATTAATATTTGGAAATACTAAGACATAGTTGACGTATGGAAGTGCTTATAAGTAATTCATCCAATCAGCTATCTAAAACGCAATTATGAAAGTCAACAAATGACAGACTATATCTGCTGGCGATTGTCGAAATTTTTGACTTCTGAAAAGTACGCACAAGTTTGGTATGTGCAGTTCCCTTGATAAGTTTCAAAAATTGAAAACAGGCCAAATCTGCAAACTAAACAACACTTTATTTGGTAGGTTTCCACCAGCTAGTGACAGTCCAAAATTACAATAATTATAAAAGAATATAAATAACATTGCTTTGGTGGTTGAAACGATACCACACAAAGTGCTATCAACTAAGTTATCTAAAATCCAGCTTATCAAAAGAGCTACTACTTAAATTTCATTGCCAAATCATTAATATGCATTAGAAGGATTGAGACAAGAGTCGCCATCAGTTTTCGAGCACATCACAAGAGGTTTATGCTTAAAGGTGGGAGAATGTTCGGAGTGTAATAACCAGACGTAGGATAACTTGTTAACACTAAAAGTTCTTTAAAACATTGAATATACAGAAGACACAAGAGTGACTACGCTTTGCGAAAGCATCTGTAAAAATTACTCCTAGTAGGACTTTCGTTTGAACTAACTTTGCAGTTTCTTATTTGACTGCTTTGCTGATTTTAACTAACCAAGTTTATTTCAAACTTGAAAACTTCAGTTTCTTTAAACTTCACTCAGTTTCTTTGCCAGTGCTAGTTGTGGTTTGCTTGTTTTCTCTCTACCTGTAGAATACAAAATCGACTACGGTTTTAGTCAGAAAATTTTCATAATTACTCTTTTGAAATTCCGAATTTCCTATTTTCAGCATTTTTACTCTTCATTATGATTTTTTATTTCTGTACAACTACTGCGCTTTCAGGAAGTCAACAGCTGACAATAAACTGTCCCATAATATTTTGTTATATTTCTTATTCGCTCTATCTTGCCTCGTGGAAATATTCATGAATTTTCCTTTAGGAAAAGGGCTGAAATCTTTCTATACTGGTTGTGTATTAAAAATAATGCTGTTAAGACTAGTAGCCTAACTTATAATTTTTTATACTAAAGATGGGTGATCTGAATCACAATAAGATTCGATTCACATGGTTCAGTTGTTCTGTTTAATTGGGTTTACTTTATCAGTTCGAATCATAAGGCCATTAAACTAGGATCATTTAAGTAATGCTTTCTAAGCGAAGTTTACCGCCAAACATGAAGAAATTTAAAGTTGTAGTACAAAACTGAACAAGTTACAAGATTTGGAATTTTTATAGCAACTTACTTGACCTCTTACTTAATTTTTCTGTGTCTGATATTGTTGCCATTATAAATTTGTTAACTATCAAATTACTTTCTTGATTATTATTATTATTATGTTGTTGTTGTTCATGATTTATTAGTAAAGTTGGGAGATTTTTAGTGGAAGTGTTTGCTGTACTATTTTCATATAACATACTGGACAACTTCGTTAAATCTGTTTGCATGATTCTGCAATGTACGCACGTGTGGCGTTTATACTGTTAGTCAAGTATTTATCACATATATATATATATATATATATATATATATATTTAGAGAGAGAGAGAGAGAAATAGCTGTTGTTTAAATATTAATGCAAAACTCATCTTTAAATTTTATGCTTACACTTTCTGGAACTAGGGTCTATCTTCCTTTTCTGCCTATTTTTCTTCCTTCTCTCCTTTTCACCATCTATATGTTTATAATTGTGCTATGCATATGTGCACATACACAAGATCAGTAAGAAAAGGGGAAGGGAGAAAAATTCCCCCCATCGTTATCTTACATTAAAGCAAATAGGACGTCTTCACAAAATTATAATAAACAAATGATAGGTACATATTCTTTTTAAAAGATATATATATATATATATATATATATATATATATATATATATATATAACGTTCTTTTTATTGGTAGCTAATGCAAGGGTCCTTGGCTTAAAGGCAAATAGAACAAGAATTTTAATGTCGGTGTTGTGACAAATCAACATCAGTTGGAAAAGCCTTGAATACCAGGAAGCGCTAGGTAGCTGCTTCGTTAAATTGTTAGTTTACGGGGACCAAACTTGAAATCAGTCCAGTCGCTGATAAATAACGCTTGAAAATTCATCTTGTGCTCACTAATGATGGGCTACAGGATGAAGTAGCCTAAATTTCTAGTATGAAGTTGTGATCATCAGTCCTGGGTACGTGCAGCTAAATGGTCCAAAACGAGGACTAAACAGCTGTCCAGTACTCTTCGATTTTCAATGATTCTCTAGCTGGAATCAGTTTGTGTTCAAACTAGAACGAAACGTTTTTCCAGTGACCCCCAGTTTCTAAGGCTTCTCAAACTGATGTTGATTCATCACGAATTCTACACGGGAATTAATTTAAATCCCCACAAAACACAGTTAGAAAAAGAGTTGTTTATACTTAGTATAGCATGGAGGATTTAATCATGAGCTGACATCAGTTAGAGAACCACTGGAAAACCTGGGAGTACTGGACAGCTGTTTCGTCCCAGTTTGGGACTCCTCATCAGTACACTCCCACCGGGATTCGAACCCAGGACCTACTGGTTACAAGGCGAGGTCGTAGACCATTGAGCCACTGGGACCCGATGGGTACGTACTGATGAGGAGTCCCAAACTAGGACGAAACAGCTGTCCAGTACTCCCAGGTTTTCCAGTGGTACTCTAATTGATGTCAGCTCATGAATAAATCCTCCATGCAATCCAACAAAATTCCTACAAAACCAATAACTTACAAAGCAACATGAGCAACTCATCTGAATTTTTTAAGCTAACTATTTTTTGCCTAAAGACAAATATTAAGCCTCTGAGAAACCATCTATTATGTATCATGGCGATAGACTTCAAAGCACACAGGGTAATAGCAAATCCAGTGTCATATCCAAAGAGTCTAGAGTAGACAAGTTAAAAAAAATTAAATCGTTTTTTTATCGGGTGATGACTGGTTAGCCATGAAAGACAAGATATATACTTTCCAGTATTATTTCCAAGGTCCTTCTATTCATCTTTTTTATTCCATTTGTCATCAAGACATGTATGGTGAATTCGAATATTTTCAGTATGATATAAGTTGACCAAATGAAGGTATATATCCACTTTCTAGTCAATTTATTCCATTAGACATTTCGGAAGCATAGTTAATTTCAAGGTAGATTTCATTACAAACCAAAAACAGTTAGAGACATCCCTATGTTTACTTTTGCTTACATAGAAGACACATTCGTCGGCTGGCTTCCTGAAGGCTTTCAGTATCCGGTTTCATTCGTCCTCCCCTATTCCTATACACAATAAGTTTATTTTTTCTGTGTTCCAAAGTTTCAGTAACGATGAGGTTGTTTCATTCAGGGTGGAGTCACTAGCCTCACCAGTTAGCAAGCTAGGCGGGGTTTTTACAACTTATTTGTTAATTTAATAAAACCTTCACTAGTTAAACCGCTTCCAACATTTGACACTAAATTACACTGCATTACAGCATGTGCACTGATGTATTATTTTTTTTAGTGGCTAAATTGCACACCTGATAGATGAATTATGTCAAATTTACTCAGGAACAGATGGCCACACTAAATATAATCCCGTGACCGATTCGGATACTGTCAGTATTTAAGGTGACATTTGAGTTATTTTTTAACAAATAAGGTTGAGAATTTCGAAGGTGGTATTTAATGTGAGGTCTTATTTTCCACAGTGAAATATTTAACTAGTAAGAGTTGCACACTATGGCAGTATATTCTAGTGGTCAACAAGAGTAGTTGTAAACTGCTCGCTGATGCGAGCAGGGCTTTCTAGCCAGACCGAAGTGATCTAAATGCAGATGGAGTAGAGCATGTAAGAAGTAAGCCCAGATACAGTCAATTCAGACAGCCAGTTCCGTATCATACTGTTTTCCTTGCTATCTTGATTACCATTTATGAAAATTAGGGTGATTTGAACTGGTTAGGTCTTCTAAGTTGAGCCAAACGCGATACACCACTGATGAGCTCGGCTCCAAACAGGCGAAACGACTGTTTGGTGTTTAGATCACTTTGATCTGTCTAGAATACACTACTGTTCGACATGCTTAGTTTCCATTTACACATACCAATCAATTAGTAGTATATGCCACCATGCATTGTTTGCTTTTTTGAGTGCTGCTCATAGTATTAGGCAGATCATATATTGTGATGTGAACAGTTTCACTTTCCAAAGGAAAATATGATGACATTTAATTTCATACTGTGTAATTTGCAAACGGTGAATTTGATACTATAAACAATTTTGTTTTCCTCCTTTATTTGTAAGTGAAAGTCGGTTTAAGTTCAATAATTATTTCAAAGAGAAATATTCCCACATATAGTTAATTTTCTGTAATACTTAAGGTTTTAAATGACAAAATCTTAATTTATTTTCAATGATTATGTCAGATATTTATTTATTAAGCCAAGTACCTATTAAAAAGATACATCTGGTCCACAAGTGTTGATTGGTGAAAATTTTAAGTAAAAGTGATTATAATATTTTTCTCTGTTATCAGCATGAGGACTACTTTTCTTTTATGTTGAATGCAAATTAATCTATGAGTATCTAAAAGCACTGAATCTAGACGATTATTACGCTTATTCAATTCCCCTGAATTAGTTATTCAGTAATTTGTCATTATGAAATAAAATCCAAAGTATACAACAACAAAACTACTTATCAATAGTGAGACTATTTATGATAGCCTTGAGTTAATTTATTTAACTGGTGATAAGTATAAACTGTTTATGTCTAATATAAGTAAGAATAAAACGCTGTTCTTCATTTAAACATCATACCTTAGTTTTATTCAGTTTATAGATAGGTTAAATACCATTATGTAAACACTTCCTACAATCGGATGTTATTTATCTTATATTCCCCTTTCTGTTTAGTCCCAAAGAATTTTATTGATACTAAATGTGAAGAATTTTTTCAAATTCCTTTTTATATTTCCGTCTTTCAGACTTCAGTTAGAAAAAAAGAGAAAATTTTAGTTCAGACGTTTGCTTTTTATTGTCATCTTTTCTGTTAGTGTCTCCTTTGCCATTGTTAGATTTTTGCATACATAATGAGTATAATCTCCGTTATTGAAATGAAGAAGGATAGGGAATGAATTCATTATTAAGTGATAAGACACTCTTTCTGTCTGCCTGTCTCTCTCTTTCCTTCTCTGCATCTCCTTCTGCGATACACATAATATTCTAGGCATATTCTTACCGTAGTTATCACTGTATTTCTAACTCCCAAAATATTTTTCCCTTTAGTTTTATTAAAATTTTATTTCTTCTCCTAGAAGTTAATATTTTTTTGCATTATTCGTGTTACTTATATGTTGTAAATGATATTTTAGCATTTACAGAATTTATTATATATTCAGAAAATTTCTACTAAATTTGTTTCAAATAAGTACCTAAAACATATATTAAGACAATTGATGAAGATATTTTAAATGCTTCTTTTTCGTGAAGTATCTTTACATAATTTAAATTCTAAAATTGTCTTAGGTAGACGCACATCTGTATATACAGCTCTAGAACTAAAACACTTTCAGTATTTTTAAATACAATGTTAACTTTACGATTGTTAAAATGAATTCATATCACTAAGTGGTTCCATCTGAGAGTAAATTTTTTCGATAAAATCACACAGTGATGCAGTCTAGAAGCCATATGAATGCCTCGATATGACTATATGAAGTACATTGTACTCGAAACATCGTCAGTAAATAATACTCTAGTGTTGTATGCTTTTGTCTAATAAAATTAATCTGTGATGGAATTATGCTCTACCACAGTGCTCGAGTCCTATTTTTATATCATTGTTGATAACAGTTTGCCTTCCTACGGTTATTATTATTCATTTCTGCGTTCCGAGTGAAACGAAGGGGTTTATTAGCACGTCATTATTTCACTCAGTACTCTACAGTCTCTTTCAGCTGGCTCCACAATTGCCCACAAGCCTTCATCTCCTTCGCACACGTCATCCTCTATGCAATAATCGAACCCTCAGTCATAGGTTCTTATTCGATTTCTACTCAACGTCCTGGAATGAGGTGTCAGTCAACAATATCATTAGCCTGTCTCCAATGCACCTGTTTCTTTTGGCAGATTTTTTGACTGGTTCACTGATAAACGGAATATTCCCAAACTGAATCATAAGAAAAAGAAGATAAAAACAGCAAAGGAATTTTGCTTTCCGACAAATCATTTTCAAGAGCTATACAATCAAATTTATGTTTAACAAAGAATTCATAAGACCTGTCAGATATTGGAAAATTTTTTCTAGGAAATGTATTCTGTATTGTAGGACGTAATGATGAAAGGGGTGATTAATTGGAGACTACAAAAGGCGTCAGAAGTTAAAATGAGGTAACAAGTGTGAAATATGACTAAGTAATATAACTGTATAAAGTGAGCGAAAATGAGTGGAAAGACGGCAAGGTGATCTTATAAAATCTGTA